AAAACGGTCGGTGCACTTGAAAAATCCGAAAACGGAGTGATGATCGCAGTGAGAAGACAGATAATATAATCCAAAGTTTTATGACGTAATTTCAAGTTAAAAGCACGTCAGTCGAAAATAACTTACGGCCTGCTGAGGCTGTTATTAACGTTATTCAATCATCGTCAGTTTCAGTCGAGTTTATATTCCCCCGAGTGCATCATCTATTGAAAATTTTCCCAGATGCATCCGTGCAGTCTCAGATGGTTGAAAAAAAAAAAACAAATGTTGCACTCAAAAATTTTCTGAAAATCATGTAAGACGATAAAATGCGAAACAAATATCAGCATAAAAAAATTAATTGATATTTCATTATCGTATTTATGTAAATAGCAACACATACCCTATTCCATTAAACTTTACGACTAGAATTTTTACTTATTAAAGAGATGTCCCAGATTGATGTCTAGTCTTCCTCTTCTAAATCTTCCTTTTTCACAGTGAACATGCCTCGAAGCCATAAACGCAAAACGCATAATCCCACCAGGTTTTAATGCCATTCGATTGCCGCAATTTTCGGCTAAACATTCACTTTTATAGCAAAGAAGAGAGACTGTCTGGAACTGTGCAAATGTCTACTACTTTCCAATTCTCCTTTTGCAAAAATGGCATAGCATGCTAAAATTATTAACAAAATGACAATTACCGGGTGGAAGAGATGGATGAAAGTGTCAGTCATTGCACTTCATTCTTCATGGGGAGGTGCTCCGTATTGGCACCTGTGATTCACCAGAATTATCGGCGTGATTTACCCACCTCGAGTACCGATAAATCTTTCTCAACAGCAACACAATTATTGTTGGGTACTTATTTGGCTTTTCGACACTGGCTATCGATCATGCTCATCGTGATTAGTCGATTCCGGAAGGTTTAGTCACGCTTGCGGGCCTACGGATTGCAATCATCTTTTTATTTCCTTTTTATTCTCAGTTTCATTTTTTTTTTACTCGTCCCTGAGCATTTTCACGCGTTAAAATTACTGCCATATCAGAATTATCAATTCGAGACAAATTCATTTGGTAGGCGAATAAGTAATCACTAGCTCTCAACGGTTATTCAATCCCAAACATCGTGAATAAATTGTTGCAAAAACGTTACAATGATATTATTATTATCCCCATCAAGATAAATACCCAAATGAGCCGAATAAACCCGTGACATTCAATGAATCAAAAAAAAAACCATCTCCCGCGAGAATTAAAATTCCCCATAAAATGTAATGAAAAACACTGAATACGCATTAAGTGAAGATGATATCGATCCATAAATCCAAATATTGTTGTGTGAAGGCGATGCTCGCCAGTGGGTTGATTTCAAAATCTACGAGGTATACCTTTTTTTCGAGCCCACGAAATCATAAAACCGATCGTTTACGATCGTAAAAGGCGACGATGATAAAAATGAAAGAGTGGAGAAAAAAAAAATATATAAAAGAGGAAGAGCACACAACAGCACGTGTGTATAATTCTCCACATAAAAACCTACCTGTATACCAGTAATTCGATAAAGTGAAACTACGTGATCGAACGGTAAATACCGATAAAAGTGAGAAAGATTCGAGGTTTAAAATTGGACGGTTGTAGGGCCCCCCCTCGGGATCGTGGTTTAAAGGTCGACGTAGACCTCTATATAATCAAATTCGTAAATGATACGTCATTCCGGTGTTTTCGCATGAAACTTGAGATACGATTAATAGAACCGTGTGTTCCTGTCAGCCTCAACAAATACGGGGTGATAATCAAATGGATCCGTAATATTGAAAAAAAAATCACGTCAGCGGATACATTAAATATTCATGAGTCATTACCCACGAAAACATCTCGGTATTTTTTTTGGAATTCGTCTAACAGTGGGCGATGGTCGTTGAAAAATTCATTCAATTCATTTTGTGATATTCAAAAATCAGAGAAATAGATTTTTCTAATTATTTCATTATTATTCTTAATTATGAGCTAGAAATAAAAATGTGGGGAGGATTAATGTTTTATTGGGAAGTGAGAAAGGTATTTATGATGAAAAAAAAATTACCACCTGGGCTCGTCCGGGATTTGAACCCGGGACCTCTCGCACCCGAAGCGAGAATCATACCCCTAGACCAACGAGCCTCGTCAGATATTTTATCGAAAGAACTCCTTATCACCTGCAGCTCTGGAAAATCAATGTCCTGGTAATAAAATCGACCGCCTGTAAAAAAAAACAAATGTCTCTTTTTAAAATTAAATCTTGAATTCCAATTATTGTAATGCGCTGGGATTTCACGCGGCGTTTTTTGTTCCCTGAGATTATCTTCGATTTTTTTTTTAAATATAATGTTCGAAATCATTACAACATTTTATTGGATTTCTATTTCTATCGATTTTTGGCCGAATCTGTCTGTTTAATAAGAAATAATCCAGAGAAAAAATGTAAAACTCGATGAATTTATTTTCTGCCGATATTTTTTTTCCGATTTTTGCTTTTTCACGTCAAAAAAAAAAACCAAAAATCATGGAACCGGCAGAATTATTGTTTATTAAACGATCCATCAATTTCTCCTCAATTTAATTGATTTCGTTATATTTCTGTCAAAAATTCTCAATATTTCCTAAAACGGACATTTTTTCGGATATTCCGGAATTGAAAGATTCATATTTTGGAAATTACAATTTTTTTTCTGCCTCCACTTGTTCCCGAACAGTCACTGTGGCGCTCTCTCTCGGTGTTTCATTCGACCAATGGCCCCCGGCATTGAAATCCCCAGGGCAATCCCCCCGAAAAAGCTAAAAAATTTTCCAAGCGTTTTTTCCCTCGGTCCAATAAAAAAATTCATCTTTTACAACCGAAGCTAAACCGTCCCGAGTCCCGTTAATATTTCCACCAAAAACTCTCCCCCATTCAAAACACTTTTATAACGGTTTTTATTTTTACAACAATCACCGTTGCACACTCAAAGGACCTCGATTTTTAATTAAAAGAGCAGAAGAATGTGGAGCTGTAAAACCCAAAAAGGGACACCCGATTAACAGTTTTAGCACGATGAGGGCCATCATCGCTTTATGGTACCCCCGACCTCTCCAGGTCGGTGGCCACAATGGAGACAATTGCCAATGCCTCGGTACCCCTCTCCCCCCAGCTACTTAATCACCATCTTTAATCCAGTAATAAATTTGTTTTTCTCCCAGGGGATGTTTGTACGCGCCCCATCTTTCCCAGAGATTCCGCCACTTTTCCGAGAAAACATTTGATAATTCCAATAATTTCATCCCTTCCTCTCTAATATTTTTAAAATAAATATACAATTACGAGAAATATAAAATTTTACTCATAGAGTACTTGAGTTCTGAATCATATAGATTCCAGATGAAAATTCCGAGCTTTGTAATGAGACTATTAATAAATTTCAATGCCACAAAATTTCTCTATGACTCGCGTTATCAATCCGGACTAATTATCTTTAAGTGCTCAAGAGTAATATAACGTTGAAAAATATTGAAGAAAATGGAGAAACATTTGTTGACAAACTGAAAAAAATGACCCCCCGGGGTCATGCGTATAATGATAAAATATCGTGTGAAATAGTAAGAGCTCATACTTTCGAATAACTTCGACACGATTGTCCGTAAAAGTATGCCTATATCAGTATCTGTACGAGAATCATAATCTCTTTTACTGTACATTTTCAAGCCACTCCATGTATTTGTGTTTAGAGTTAATTACGACCACGCCGGAGGGTACACAGACATAAATATCATTGATTATTGTCCATGCGACCTTTCCCCAGGCAAGGAAGCATCACAAGTTTCTCGTATGAGTGAAAATTCGTTCGACATCTATGGAGTGAAGACATCGTGAAGTGAGAGTGCGTTTTCAGGGTAATATATTATTATTCGAGGAATTATTTATTTTTCTTTTACGACAGCCAGATGATATTCCAATCCTGATACTATATGTCTTCAGTATTCTTTTATTTTTATGATTTTTTCCAGTGATAATCTTTCTCATATTCAACTGAAAACGAGAATTGATGGAATTTGCAATTCTGATATACGAAATCCTGATATCGCGATATTCCTGATTCAATATAATAAAATAATTATATCTTCAATTAATTATCTTCAAGGATTAATAGCTTGCGAATGGTTGAATAAAACTTCGCATTTTTTTTTTCATTTTCAATCAATTCGAATTCCAAAATCGACATTTTCAGAATAATAAAAAAAAAATATTTGTGATCAGCCGAATTGATAAAAGAAAATAAATCAATGCGTTCTAAATATTTTCTGATGTCTTATAAATCCAGGAAATCGGCGATTATCCTATATATTTTTAATATATTTTTCCGGGGGGGGGCCTTATCAATATCATCATCAATGCCCCCTCCGCTGAAAAAAAGGTGAGGATAAATCTGCTGTTTTCTGCGCTGTCCCGCGGTGAAAAAATCTTGCAAAAAATCCCCAGAAAAAAGGTGAATCGAGGGTTAGGAAAGGGAAGGCCCCTCCCCTCGAGTGCGTCCCACGTGAGGCCCCTTTGGTGAGTCCCACCCCAGTTATCCGCATAAACGCGACTGACCCCCTCTCCCCGGTAGAGCGCGGGGGCCCACCTGTGCCGCAGGATGGACCCAGCACGCTTCACCGGTCCCATCCAGCACACAGTGGTATCCATAAGGCCCCCGGAGGTACCTCAGCACAGCAAAACGCATTTTGTCGACCTCTTCCCCGTGTTAAATAGTGAATTCGAGGCGGACGAAAAAAAAAACGTTCTCGTTCCTCGTGTGCTGCTGGGAGGGGGGCATCACCTCGCAGTTCTTTATTTTTTTTTTTTAATTCTCCAATTCCTGTCTTCTCGGGCTATCGTCAGAGGTGGGGTAAAGGTACACAACAGGAGGTGACAGGTATAAAGCCCCGGGGGTGGGGGAGGGGGAGG